TTTTAATGTTGATGCTTTGCTGTATATGCTGGCACAGGTTATAAACACTGTTAAATAAATAACAAAATGTGTCCCAGAAAATACCCACAATTATATAAAGTAATTGGGGTTGCTGCATCTCCTAATATATATAGCACTGCTATGGGATGACTCCCAGGACACAAATTCTTAATTTTCATTATCAGACTTTCACTCTTTCTATCTGCCCAGTGACTACAAGCCTTTTTGTTGGTTGGGTTCACATATTATTGTGACCCAGGATTCCTTTTAGCTAAGGTTTATTGAATAAGTTATAGTGGCCTAGTTTACACATTATGCTAAGTCATATCAACATACCAGAAGAATTGAATTGGATTATGGTGCAGTACAAAGGGGAAGAAGAAATTAGGTGATAACTGCAGAGGGCTCTAGGAAGCAGTGGATTATCTGGACCTTTGGCAATCAAGGATTCAGGTCAGGGTATAGGATGGAAACTGCATTAGCCACTCTCATTGATGACTTGTGGCAAGGCATGGATGGTGGGAGTGCAACTACCCTTGTCCTGCTTGGTCTCTCAGCTGCCTTTGATACTGTTAAGCACAGCATCCTTCTGGGCCACCTGTAAATACAGGGAGTAGGAGGCATTCTTCTGCAATGGTTGTGCTCCTCTCTGAGTGGGCAGGTCAGGTCAGGTCAGGTTGGTGGCTGCAGGAGGGGAGAGGTTGAGTTTGAATACACTTCAGTATGGGGTGTCCCAGGGGTCACTTCTCCTATGCTATTTAACATCAGCATGAAGTCACTGGGAGAAGTCATGTGCCCACACGAAATGAAGTATCGTCAATATGCTGATGATAGCCAGCTATGCATCTCTGCCCTGTGTTGGTGGGAGATACAGTGGGTCCTGATTCAGTGCCTAAGGCTGCCAGGGCCCATATGGGGAGAAACAGACTCAGAGTCAACACAAGCAAGACAGAGTACAGAAACCAGCTGATTCTGCAGTGCTGCCATATATGTGTGGGTGTATATGTGTGTGGGTGTAATAAACTGTGAACCTAGCCATTAAGTCATAGCAGAGTTGGGAGAACCCCAGTATTATAGGCAGGTTTCAGTCCAGCTCAACCTGCCTCCCCCAACCAACACCGCAATTGGTCTTGGTCTTCAACTCCTGCTTGCATCCTCTTTGGAAACATTGGAATTTGTAGGCTTTGTTCATATAACCTGTTTGCCTGCGCTTCACTGAGTCATGGATAATTCAAGTGACCTAATTTTCTGAGTCACATTAGCCATTCATTGGATCCCTAAGCTATCTGCATTACCTGACTTCATAAAACATGCTTTTTATTGATTATGTGCTGTCATGTCAGTGTTGACTTAGTGGCCACTCAGAAAAATAAATAAATAAATAAATAAATAAAATAAATAAAATAAAATAAAATAAAATAAAAACAATAAAAAAATAAAAAAAATAAACAACAA